CTCGTATACAGGTACACATAAATGACTTATACAGAAAAGTACGTCTCTATCGCTCAACTCAAAACCTGGGGCCTCATCTCGATGGAATTGCTCCACGCTAGCCCTTAGATGATTGTATAAATTTTGTAACCTTTTAACTTCCCTTAATAACTCAGCTTCTACTCAAAGTTCGGCCAATAACCCACCATTACTAGAAAAATTCAAGTGTGCTAACAAAGCTCGTAACTCAAACATCGACTTCTTGCTTAAAGCATCGGTGATAACATTTGCCTTCTCAGGTTGATAGTCGATTACACATTCGTAGTCCTTTAGCAACTGAACCCATCTACGTTGTCTCAAATCCAACTCCTTCTGCGTGAGTATGTACTTAAGGCTCTTATGGTCGGTAAAAATATGCCACTTTTTCACCAAACAAGTAATTCCTCTAGATCTTAAGCGTAAAAACTAATATTGCAAGCTCTAAATCTTGAGTGGGGTAATTATGCTCGTGTGGCTTGAGTTGACGGGATGCATAAGCTAACACCTTTCCTCCCTGCATAAGAACGCACCTAAGGTAATTTAGCGAGGCATCGCTAAACACTGTGAAATCTTTTTATGACTTTGGTTGAGTCAAAACTAGAGCTTGAGTTAAGATTGATTTCAACTATTCAAAGCTTTTCTGTTGTTTCTCGTCCTATAAAAAAGAACTCCTTTTTGAAATAGTTTAGTCATAGGGGCAACTATCATTGAGAAACCTTTAACAAACTGACAATATTAACCAACAAGACCCGTGAAACTATGCACTTCTGTTACATTCTTCGGCAATTCCCACTCAAGTAATGCTTGAATCTTCTGAGGGTCATCCCTGATGTCGTCTGCTGTCACGACGTGACCAAAAATGAAACCTCTGACAACTAGACATCACACTTTCAAAACTTTGGCAAACAACTTTTAATCTTGGAGCATTTGCAGAATGATATGGAGGTACTGGTTGTACTTTTCCTTTGATCGTGAGTACACAAGGATGTCATCTATAAAGACTATAACAAATTGGTCTAAGTACTAGTGGAAAACTAGATTTATCAAGTCCAAGAATGTTGTTAGGGCATTGGTGACTCCAAACGACATTATGAGGAACTCATAGTGACCATTTCATCTCCTAAAAGTTATCTTGGCTATGTCGGTATCCTTAACTTTGAACTCGTAATACCCTCGCCTTAAGTCAATCATGGAGAATACACAAACCCCTCTAAGCTGGTCAAATAGGTCATCAATCCTAGGATGAGGATAACGATTATTGATAGTTAACTTGTTTAGCTATCATTAGTCTTTACACACCTTATTGATTCGTCTTTCTTCTTAACAAAAAGGATTGGCGCTCCCCAAGAAGAAATGTTTGGTCGAATGGATAACTCTTGAATTTGGATGTTTAACTCCTTGAGCTCCATCGGTGTCATACGATAGGGAGTAATGTATAATAGAAAGGAACCCGATAACACTTCAATGTCAAATTCTAAATCTTGGTCGGATGGTAATCCTGGAAAATTCCTTAGGAAACACTTCGGGGAAGTCTCACACAGTTTGGATATCATGAAGCATTGGAACTATGATTTGGGTGTCGACTATGTTCTCCAAGAAGGCTTCACAATCCTGATCGATCATTCTTTGAGCCACTAATGTCGTAACGATCCTAGAGCACCCTCGTTTTTCAATAACCATCACTACCTTGGTTCTATCATTCTTCTTGAGTTTGAGTCGCCTAGCTTTACACCTCAAACTAGCATCGTGCCCTGAAAGTCAATCCATACATAAGATCATGTCGAACTCTCTAAACAACTCCATTAGGTCAGTTGGGAAAATTTGACCTTAGATTTTGACTGGACATCGACAATAAACCTTGTCGATAAGAACGTCTAACCTTATAGAACTGGACACTCGCACCATAATATCTAAATCCTCAGCAAAAATGTTTCTTTTCTCATACACTAAGTCATAACATACATAGAAGTGTGTGGACCCTAGATCTACTAACATTGTAACTGGAATAGAAAATACAGTAAAAGTACCTGGATCTCTGAGTTTACATCTCCAAATAAAACTTCTACCCCTCGAGGTTTCATGACCCCTCTATACTATCGAGGCTGATCTTTCAGTCGATGTAGGGGTTAAATTCTATGCCTCGGGGTAATCCCTGATAAAATGATCTAGCGAGCCACAACCGAAGCATCCTCTAGTCTCGAAATGGCACACTCTAAGGTTCCTCTTCCCACAGGTCGGGCAAGTTAAGAAAGGCGTCCTCACAAATCTGTTGGTGCTCACCACTGAAGTCGTCGCTAAAGGTATCCTACTGGGCCCAAATCAACCCCCGTGGTCTGCACTTTTGGTCGATCTCTTAGATTGTCCTATTGGGGTCCTCCACGAACCCTTGAGAGTCTATGTCCCTCTTAGTCGACGTCTGGGTAGGTCTCAATGACTATATTATCCTCTAAATATGCCATGCTATAACAACAGATACTATAGGCTTCATGCCCAACACCCTTTCAGTCATCTTCGCTTGTCGGGTCAACTCAGTGAACATCCTAGGAGGGTCTACATCCAAGTGGGTGAGAATTTCGAGGTGGAGGACCTCCCTAACCTCTTACAGCGGTGGTACTCATACACTACCAACTCCGGGGCATACCGAATCAACTGGAGAAACTCTCTCTCATACTCAAACATCAATTAGTCCTCTTGAATTAGATATAGAGATGAGTACTTGGAGCATCTACGCTCGGCCATCATTGAAGTGCCTTGTGTACTAAATGAGACATGTTCGAACATTCTAACATATAAAACGTTCATTTTGCTACTAGAGTAACTCAGGTGTTCTGATCGTTTCTTGAGCGTCATACAACGACTAGTTTTATGGCGTCCTAATTTATATTATTTCTAGTTGTAATTATAATTCTTATTGTTGTTCTCACTTTAGTCTTATTTATAAAGTTTTGATGACCATTAATCCCTTTACTAGGATACTTGATATGAGATGGGTTCCTTACCCAATTTAAGACGAGGGTATCAATACTATGCCTCTCAGTATTGATATCAATCCCTGAGTATCAATACCAACCTGAGGTACATATACCAAAATAGGCTACTGGAATTCAAAGAGTTATAACAGTATCGATACGTTTAATTGGAATATCAATATTGGGCTACTAAGGCATCGATACTACCCTTAGTATCGATACCAAATTTGGTTTTGATGTTTGAAAAATTAGTTGAGTATCGGTACCCTTACTTAGGGTATTGATACATCATCCATGGTATCTATACTCTATTGAGTATCGATACCAAAATTGGCTACTAGAATTCAAAATCTAAAGATGGTATCGATAATACCCTTTGAGTATCAAACCCTATGAACAATATTGATACCCTATGAACCTATATCGATATTCTCAGCCAATATACCTTGCTAATTTTAACTATACAAAGAATAGTATTGGTATTGTTCATCCAATACCGATACCAAGACTAAAATAACATGTTTTGAGCACGAAAATGTAACCTAACACTACCCATTCACCCCACTGAGTCCATCAAGTAATGTTTAAGTCTTATGTAAGTTGATAGGGGTCATAAGGAGTCATTTCTCATGCTTTAAAATGCCAATAACTAGAATATATCATGAATATGCTCATATGCTTTATAAACTAATGCAAGCTAAACAAAGGCATTTAGTGATCCACAAATGGTATAGGGAGGTTAGAAATGTGTTACCTTAGTTTTTAAGCTGATGAAAATGTATATAAATCAACCAAGAACCAACTTCTCTTTGTACTTGGTTTTGGAACCTTCTTCAATCTTTTTCATTAATTATAACAAGGGAAATGAGTTACTAGCTCAATTAAGAAACCAAAATGAAGTTAAGAACACTTTTCTAAACTTGAATCTACCAAAAACGAGCTAGAAATCTCTAGTTTCCTAAACTCTCACTAAACCCCCACCTATGGCTATTATGGACAAACTCTGTGTTTAAGAGCTTGAATGAAAGCTTGGGATGAAGAGATTATGATTCTTACTTGGGAAATCTCTTATTAAGCTTGAAGGGTTACCAAGTTTTCACCTTTATAGATTTTCTTGAAGGGAAAAAAGATGGATATGAGGATAAGAGGTAGGGGAAAAAATGATAAAAATGAGAGAAAAAAGGGGAGTGGTTCAACATATTACATCATCCTCATGAAAGAAAATCATCCTTTGATTGAAAATGCAGAATTAATGGTTGCATAGTTGGAATGGAAGACGCTGATCTTGTAAGAGGTGGATGGATTCCAAATGGAGATGTCTTAAGGTAGATTTAATCTTCCATCCATATCATGTTATATCGGGTGGTACAATAATGTTGAGAAATTGTGCTTGTAGGTGAAGTGGGATGAAAATGAAGCTTCAACCCCACATCTTCCAGAAAGAGTTTCACCGTGGGAAATAGAACCTGATATGCCTGCATTGCAATGCCCTCATCTGAAACAAACCTATCTGTTTAATACTATTTGATAGGGACAGGGTTTTGATATTGCGGAGTATGTATCGGGAACATGTTAAGAAAATAAAAATAAAATAGCTCGAGAGTATAAACGCAAACGCTCTTAAGCTTTAATAGAAAAATAACATTATTGTCATCCATCCAATCCATATGGATGACCCAAATCTTATTATGAAAATGATAAAAGGGGGCGGGGTATAGGTGAAATCAATGGGAAGAGCTGGTGGGCAAAGGGATTCCATTGAGAAAGGAATGGAGTGCTTGTGAAGGTGAAGTGAATGGAAATTCATGAGCTGCACCCCTCACTGTCGCATATGTTAACATTGCTGCTTCTCCCTTCTTATTCCCAAATGCTTGCGTCCATCCTCCTACCTTCATTTTTTTATAAATAAGAATTCAGTGTTCCACTCTCACTAGTTATAATTTACAACTAAAAACAACAGAGAATACCTGCTTTTGGTCACTATACCAAGGATCATACCAATTACCGTATTCTGACAGTGGAACAAGTTTCAACTCCTTTGCAATGTTATTTGCAATTATCCTTGTTTGAGTCAGTGGGATTTTTGCATCTTGGTCCCCGCTGATTTTATATTTTTTAATTAAAGAAATTACATTATTTAACTTTCAAGTATCGACTGGCGGACTTGGAATAAATTGATGAAAATAGTGGTGGATTTACCTATATAAAAACACAGGAATACCCTCCTTGATAAGATCTGAGACGACAGGAATGATGTTGATTTCCATGTTTACTTCATCGTAAACGAGGCCTGCAATACCCTTGTTTTTATTATCTCTTTACTATACAATATTAAATAATCAACCCTAAATATATTGTTGAATCTGTGGGGACAAAGATGACGAGAGAACACAAAAATTTTAACGAGGTTCGGCAATGTGCTTACGTCATCGGTGCCTATGTGGCGCTAGAAGTTTTATTCAATGTCTCATAGGTTTAGGTTACATCTCTATTTATAATAAAAAAAACCTGGTACATAATTACATAATTGACCTTTTATGAGCCATACCTATTAAATCTCCACTTTGGCGAATACCCTGCCCCTTGAAAACTTCAATGTGGGTTGGATTACCTTACTTCTTTAACAAATCGAAACATTCAACATATATATATATTTCTCATCCTTTATTCGAATACCCTGAACAGAAATCCCAATGGAAAGGGAGGTGAGTTGTATTGGCGTGGAGTGCCTTTTGAACATCAGGCCTATTAAGGTATGTTAATATTCTTCCCTAATTGCATGGGTCACCCTTCTTTGTTCTCCTAGAAACCCGTCCAAGTTTTAAAACCAAAGAATAAATGTATTTTAAACTCGAAATATTTAAAAAAGATGACATGCACATACAGCCGAATGTATCATCCCAAGCAGTCCTTTAAGCCTAAATTGCTGGGCGTGGTTGGATGATGGGCAATCCGGCAAGAGAAGATCATCGAACTTAACATCTACACCCACTTCATCGGCAACTCTATTGAACACATCATTGCATCCTTGTGACCATCCTGAATGAACGTATTCGTGCATGTACTTGGAGTCTTTGCAAACTGTCTTCTCCAAGAACAGGGTTTCATCCGATATTGCACCGTGACCCCATAAGTAGTCGCCCGCCAATATACTGATGTCCAGATCCAAAAGTGGATTCCCAATCTATAAATGAAAACGGATCATGTTCGTCAAATTTTAAGCGTTGAAATTAATGAATCTTCGCAGCATCAAGGTGATAAAAATATTACAGCAATGGCTACGAGGTTGACTGGTTCGTGGTTAGGGTTCTTGTTGTGCTCCACCAACAACGCTGCTAGCTGTGGGATATAGTGCCCTACAAGCAAAGCACAATAATTTTCATCGAAAAAAATATAGTTATTATAATGATGGTGAAAACATTATTTATTGAGTTCCTGCATAGCGTTCACCAGCTATGAAGAACTCAGTCTTTGAATTGAGGAAATTCTTCCAACAACTTCAAAATAAACCTATAATTATCTTGAGCTGCAACAATCAAAACATCATGAATATGAAGTGATTCGGTATATGATGAACTCACAGTGAAGGCATGACTACGAATCACAAACCTGTCTGTGTATCATTCCATAAGATGTAATCGTGGCTAGTATTTGAATATGAAAATCCAACTCCAATTGGCGATTCGAGGTATAACATGTGAGATTCTATCAAAATTATCAATTTAAGAATCTCATTAAAGAATAGTAAGGAATTTAGAGTGTGAAAGATATTTCGTTTGTGTGCATCGCTCGTCCCTTTTCCTTTTTAATTTTGTTAAAATGTTAGTTATTAATCATCATATATTTTATTTTCGTATCTTTATTTAATTTTATTTTTATTTTTAATAATTATGTCTTTGTAACCTACTTTCATTTTATAATATATTTTTATATGTTTTTTGGCACGTTTTCAGTCGTTTGAATGTTATTTCTATTTATTTTTTCTAAGAGTTTATTTGGCATCTCCACGTCCGATCAAGATGACACTTATTTGTTATTATGTTAATATTCCCTACTTTGAACCTTCATATTGGATTTGAATAAGCGGTTTGTGTTTGTGAATAGTTTGTCACGTTGCTTGACTTTGATATACGGTTTGTCGATGATCTTTTAGTAGCTTGATTTAATTTTTTTTGTTCATTTATTCATGCTATCAGATCTGTTTGTATCTATCCTTGTTTGAGCTTCTGGTTAAGTTTTTAATATTGTTCTTATATGATCTTTATGTGATCTTAGATGGCTAATTTTTGACTCAATGATTAGAAAAATATACTAATTATGAATTTAATTTGCTATTATAATTATAGATTTTCATTGTCACGATGAGCATTATTTTTATATTAATTTTAAATATATTTAAAGGCTTGATTCACACATATATTAACAGATTCATATGCTATTAGGAGTGTTATTTTGTCATATTTTAGTACATGAATCAACAATAAATTAAACTTGATAATTTCCAATCATTTCATAATTTAAATCGAATAAAAATAAATAAATAATATTTATTTTAAATAGGTATTATATTTTTACTATTTATAGTAATTGTCAGAAACTTCCCAGAAAAATCATTCATTAAATTATTGAAAACAACGTCAGTCAAGGCAATAATACATTTTAATCAATCTTAACACAACATTTTAACCCCAAAACATAAATATAATATGGAGTTCATTCTTTAACAGAAAATGTATGGAAACAAAGCAGCTAAACCACTCCTATGATAATGCGGATTGATAAACCGAGCGGAGGAATTAAAATTTACAGCTGATCAGGTAGAACACAATCCGATTAATTATTCGTAACCGACTCCTGGATCATCTAAAATATGAAGACAACGCTGTCATGAACCCTAGACTTCTGGTTTTGAGCCACACATTCAGAGATCCACATCAGGTTCCTGATCTCCTGCTCTCTCAATCTCATGTATGCAAAGAAAACCCCGTAATGGAACTGCACGATCATCATCCAAGAAAAGCATATCAGAGAAGTTTTGATACATAGTTTAACCGATGAATAAAACTGGGATAAAAAAGAAACAAAAGCAAGCATATGCCGCCGCTGTGCGCCTGTGCCTTCCACATACCGTTATTAACAAAAGATAATTGATGCCAGACAAAATTAAGTATAAACCTGTTGCTCAAAAGCTAAGCAAAGCCTTTTCACTTCTTCCTCGTAAAATGCCTTGTCAAGCATTTGGCTCTCTCCATAAGATAACTTAGAGAAAATTGATTGGTAGGGAGGATATTTTTCCATCGCACCACGGACCTAGAAAGCAAAACAAAGCAGAAGATAAGAAATCGAAGTAACTTCATCCAAGCAAGCATAGCATATGAAACAAACCTGGTCAATATCCTCACAGACAGCAAGTTCCTCATGGCCATACGGATAACTGTTTAACATGAAGTATCACTTTCAAAGATAAAAAACACAGATGAATCTATTACCCAAACTGAAAGAGCATAATCAGGCCTGAGAGAAAGTGCTTACAGCAGACCAAAATTCGAGTATAATTTCCTCCGATCATCACGAGTAAGTTCAGTGCCAATGCTGAAAAAATTAAACCATAAGTCCATGCCAAACATGTTTATTAGAAATACATGGTAGGAAAGAATCAAGAGTTAAACTAGAATACTACAAGAAATAATCCCTTTCCATAACTAAAAGTACCTGTTAATGGTAATGTTTACTGCCCTTCTGTCAGCCTCAAAGGCAAGGAGGTCAGACATGATCTCTGCTGTTGCACCACCAAGTTTCTATAAGGAAAAAATGTTTAAATAAACAAGTAGGGACTGAAAACAACATATTCCATATGCAAAAAGAAAAGCCACCTTTCTTCTGTACTAGAACCTTACTTGGCAAAATTTGTAGAAGTCTTCAAGGTACGCTTTGTAGAGTGTGTTCCTCATGATTTCAATGTTCATGTCATCAAGATCCTGGAGAAAATCCAAGATGAATGAACCCAAAATCAAAGGTTTAAAAAATTACATCATCACACAAACAACACTCTAGCACAGCTACAAACAATATGACATGCATGCTTATACAGAGAGAGTTACAGACAGGTAATCACTAGTAAGAGACAATTAACATGAAGAAACACTATCAGAAAAGTTGTTAGAACCATGTACCTCAGAAGTAATACACTCGGAGAAATATGGAGCAAGCGGAGTGTCAACAAGAACCAATCTGTAGAGTTCACGCATGTTCTGAGCAACTGCCAGGGTTGCAATGCTGAAGACGCAAAACAGGAAAGTAAGCATATGTATCATGTGAGGTGAGATAATAACATGATCTCTATTTAGGGGTTAGATTACCTGTCAAACATGCCCAAAGGATGGCACTTCTCCAGAAGCTCCTGAACATCTCTCTCATGCAAGGTTCCAGTAACAATCAGAACAACATTGTCGATCATGTGACCATACCTAAATGGAACAATCAAAACATTAGGTTTTGTTAGGCTTTCACTAAATCCACAACAACCTATTAATCAATCTGCATAACTACACCATCTTAAACAGACAGCTTTCTGAATATCCTGAGACAACTCATAAAAGCTCAACCAAAGTCCGCTACTTTACAACTAGAGTTTTGTTAGGCTTTGTGAGGTGAGATAATAACATGATCTCTATTTAGGGGTTAGATTACCTGTCAAACATGCCCAAAGGATGGCACTTCTCCAGAAGCTCCTGAACATCTCTCTCATGCAAGGTTCCAGTAACAATCAGAACAACATTGTCGATCATGTGACCATACCTAAATGGAACAATCAAAACATTAGGTTTTGTTAGGCTTTCACTAAATCCACAACAACCTATTAATCAATCTGCATAACTACACCATCTTAACAGACAGCTTTCTGAATATCACTGAGACAACTCATAAAAGCTCAACCAAAGTCCGCTACTTTACAACTAGAGCTTAAGATTGATTAACCAGATGATGGAATGAGGGAATAACCAACCCTTCTATGGAAATATAAGATTAAATTGTTTGCCCCCCCCCCCCCAAAAAAAAAAAAAAAACAGATCAAACAGGTTAAATAGTTAACAAAACTGCATTAGCAGCAAAAAGGATGTACACAATTCACACCACCACATCAAATCCACCGGTACTCAGATGAGTGAACAAACTGAACACAGTTAATATTCAATTAAATCAACCCAGATCATGAGATGTGAAATAAATCAAAGCCTGGGCTATATCTAAGAGAAGGGTAATCAGATATCTCTCAAGCAATTCAAAGAAGGAAAAAAAAGGGACAAATCTTTACATACGTGATATACTCTAAAAAGGTGGACAACGGCTCCGTAGCTTGGCATAACATATGCTTATACTCATCAACAAGTTTAAGAGTACATTTCTCCACAATGGTAGTGGTATGCAATGGTGAAGGTTCTGCAAAGGATCAGCAAGTTTTATAATCAAATTATAAAGAGATCCATAGTTCAAAATTGTGAATAAGATATACTTTAAATTAACTTCATGAAGTTGTAATTAATATCAATTTCAACTCAATTCCAACGAAAATCAGTGAATTATCTTAGAAGATTGGAAATTGAGAATTAAAGATCACGAAAGAAACGTGCCGTTTTGGAGATAAGGGCCGTACTCGGTGGCGGAGAGATGCATCTTGATATCATCAAGGGTTTCGCATTGGCAAAGATTATTGTAATCAGCGGCGGTTAAGAGTCCGGCCCTGTGACCTCTCACGATCGCTTCCAAGTAACCGCCGTGGATGTTGAATGTCATAGCTTCAAATCCGTACATTTTGGCCCTTTTTCAACTGATTTGAGCAATTAAGATCTGAATTTGGGAATTGGAATTAGAAATCGAACCAAGAGATGCAGATTTGGGAAATTTATTTTTCTTTGGGGGATATGTGGCACGGAAGGGGAAGCGAGCCTGGAAATTACGGTTTAGATGAGAACGAACGAGATCTACGTCGTTATGTGTTTTTTTTTTGTGAAATTGCTAAACAGTTCTCAAATTTTCTCTTTTTGGGTACATTGGCCGCCTAACTACTACTTATTTTCATTTTGACAATAAATTTTTAAATTTTATCGATCAAATCATCTAATTATTTAAATACATCAAATCAAACAACTCTTTGTTCATATTTAATAAGGTGGACCAAGTAACTGTTTGTTTTTTAAAAGATATAAGTTCTTCTAACGTCTGTGTGTGGTCTGCGCGGTGCAGACGTGACCTTATGTCTGCAGACGTCTTCTAATCTCTTCAAAGAAGTTTTATATTTAATTTTATATTATAGATATTAATTTTAATATTAATTTTTTAAATAAATTAAATATTAATTTTTTAATATTATA